AATAGAAATTTCAGATTCAAATTTCAAAACCTGAGGCGGTATTTCTCAAAGTGTGGTCCCTGGACTAAGTACATCAAAATCAGCTTTTAAAATGGCCTGTTAAATATCCATATTCTCCATTTCCTTCACAGGCCTCCAGAATTAGTATTTCTGGTAGGAGTCAAGGAATTCGCATTTTTAACATGTTCTCTGAGAAGCTGTTATGCATGCTAAAACGTTTAAATTACTAGACTAGAATTTCTACAAATACCTAAGGAATTTGCGAGAAGAATGAAATGATACTGAATGAAAAGGAACAGCTATCTCTATTTTAAGAGAAAGAGTTTAAAAAGTTTCAAAGTTTCACAAATGATGGTATTTAGCAGAGTTGACTTCTTTCCTTTCTAATTTGTTATACTTCAAGCCCTAATGATGTCACTTACTCATAAAAACCAAGAAATGCTTCCGTATTAATCGCGAGCTTCTTGTTATTACACCTACTCTACCGGTATATATGGACGTCCAGGAAAGGAGTAGAGTAGATACGTGTATATACATCCCTCTGCTCCCTGAGACTGATTTGAATAGTTTGAAAAAAAAAAAAAATCTCTGCTATTACCGTTTCTTAAGAGTTTAAGTGTTTGCACAGGAGGACTCGTTAATGAACTAAGGCACAGTCCTTGTTCTTTTCCTAAAATAGCATCGAAGATTCTGTATATTTCTGCCGCACAAGAACCACTCTTCCATTCTCCACGAGTGTGATTTTTGTCTCTGTGGGGTATCCACTTCGAGTTCTGAGCCCGGAGCTATGCGTGGTTGTAGAAGAGAACGCTTGAGGGAAGCAATCAGCAGCCTTGTGGGTCTTGCGGAGCCGCCCACACAGGATTAGGACAGGTCTGCGTGCGGTGTGGCGAGAGGATACAGTAGTTAAAAGATTCCTTACCCAAGCACCCCCTTACCTACACAGAGTACTCATGGGGAACTAAGCTCAGATAATCATGTCTCCCCTTCTTTTGGATAAAAAGTCGACTGTCCTTGAAGCTATTTCTTTTTGTGTGTAATCTATTTTTTCACCCTACAGATACTGCTATGTCTTTATACCATTGCCTCTGCCTCCTACTTTCAATGCTTCCCATCTTCTGTCGGCAAAAAGAATAGGTTCCTTAACATGTCATCCAGGACTGGCTTCATCGGTGCGTGGCTCAGTGACACAGGACCCTGTGCTGAGAAACGCCCCATTTTGGCATATCACCTTGATGACGCTGTCTTGAAGTTCTTAGTCCTCTTGTCTCTGAAGTTGTGCTTTGTCGGTGCAGTCCGATGGGACCGCGGAGCATGCTTGTGAGCAGAGGGGATATGCTGGGGGGGTAGCAAGTGCACCTGCTTATGGTGCCACCCCAGCAGCCCACGTGCAAACAGGCTCAGGCCCCTTCACCAAAAAGACACGTCCACACGCAGGAGTCGGTACCATGTACCGGGACCATGTGCCTCGTGACAGGAGTGGTTAGACCCTGAGAAGGTGGGCCATCAGGACCTGGGCGCAGACTGGTGGCCCTGAAGGTCACAGCAGCCCAGAAGCTTCCGTGGCTGGCTGCAAGTGTCTCAGGAGAACAAGGGACTCAGAAAGTGGCCAGTGCTGGGATTTAATGTGAAGAGGCCACTTGCCCAACTCTCCCCAGCGTCTGTGCATGTGATCTCCGTGACGTGTGCAGAAATAGTAACTCTTCAACCCGAGCACCAAGACAGAAACTGCCAGGGTTCAGGCAGTAAACTTTGTCAGTAAAGACATAAAATAAAAGCCTGCTCATGAGCATCGCAATGAGGCACCACACAAAGTTATTCACATTCTTCAAAGAGTTTAGCGTACACGGTTTTTAAAATTTGTCCAGCATTGCATTGCGAATATCCAGAGGCTTAGAAACAGAAATTAAATTTAAAGATTTTTTTCCACTCAATGGAAAAGAACACCATTTTTAGAAGAAGCTCCAGGTGAACCAATTATTAATGAGTGTTTCCTTGTAATTGAAGATAAGGCTATAGAATGCATAAACAGGCATTTTGGATTATACGCAAGTCATTAAGGCACTTTCAGTTTCTTGTAAGGCCTCAGAAGTTACAGAGTATGTCAGAAGAACCTTGTAGTTCCATTGTTTAAATGTACTTTTAAAATTTAATTCAGACTTACACGTCTGGATTTGTATGAAGAGTTAAATCTTCTAGAAAAAAAAATTGTTCTGTGGAATTACCAGCGCTAGATGTTCTAAAATTTGTATTTCAGCATAATTTATCAGACTGTATTCTAGTGTTGTCACATCCTATAAACTACTCTTTACCGTTCAGTAACAGTTATATCAGCAGAAAAAGATCCTTTGCAAAATCAAAAATTATTGAAAAATATTTGTGATTTTACATTCCAACTGATGCCAGTTACATCAATTGAAAATGAAGTTGCTTAAAACAAATTCCAGTAAGTAAATTTACAGAAATGTGAGAAAAATCTTAGAGCAAGCAAGATAGAACTTTAATAAGGCATTATTTCATGTATTATATAAAACTGACACCAAAAATATATTTTTTGCAATTTGCAAGTTTATGCTGTGACTCATGTATCACCATTACTTTTACATTTTATAAGTTATGCCACATTTCTAAAGCAAGTTGCTTTATGTTTAATATCTTCAAGAGAACTTCTTTATTTTTTGACCAAAGTACCCCGCATTTTCATTTCACTTTGCGACCCACAGATTATGTAGCTGATCCTAAAGATATCTCAGTTATGTCTTTTACTGTGACTATCACCCAGCTTTCTGTTTCCCATCTTCACTCTTGTGTTATACTCTAATAATAGGATTTCCAGCAAAACGACTGCTCTCCATCTACCATCCATGTTTCTTCTTCACACAGACCCGTTGTAAATGTGCCTACCTGTCAGGGACATAGATATCTTTCCCCCATCTGCCATCTTTGCCTATCTAATTCCTATTTGCCTTTTATCTTCAGCCAAAACAACTTTTTTTCAATAAACTGACCCCACAGGGTCCCCCACTTTAATGGGGTCATTTACTTCTAATATATGACACTTATCACAGCTGTAACTACATATCCATTAATATGATTTGATTAGTGTCAGCTTCTCTCTTTAGACTTAAATCTCTATGAAGGCAGGCACTGTATGATTTGTATTTGATGTTGTTGTTGTTTTTTTCCTCCTGACAGATGGCTGGAATTTGGTAGGTGCTCAGTAAAACACTAGTTTATAAATGAATTAACTAGTGATGACATCTAAACATTGGAAATTATAATAACAAATATTTCTTATTCATGAATTCTTAGTCATTATTATTATACTACCAATGAGCTATGTATGCAGGGAATGATTTGTTTAACTTTGCGACTTTGTGGTGCCATAAGTGGAAGAAGTTGCTGTCATTTTTAATGTTTGAAAATTACTTTAATTGCATGATCTAAAACTTTAAATCAGAGCAGTTTCACACTAACACATCCAATTAGTCAACTCATCCTCCCATAAATGTAAATAAGACATTCGCAATACATTCTTTTTCCCAAAAACTACAAGAAGAAAAATATTTTTCTAGTTCTAAAAAGTGTTCTTGAAACCCTTACTCTAGGGGAGAGAAGTGAAGAAGGCTTGGAATTAGGAATGGTTGTAGTCCACAAAACTCATTCTTCAAACTTTTCTCCAAAAATAATTAGAAAGTATATATATTTCATAGTGTAAAGAGCATTTTTAAATTATGCAAACATAAAAAATAAATAAGTTACCCAAACATAAAGATATACCTGATGTCGGTTGAGTTCAATTTTCTGCATTATATGCAGAAATATAAAATGTGCTTTTATTTTTCCATGCCTCTTTTTATCAATATGTACCTTAAAACTCAAGATTATTAGTTTCTACAGGGTTAAACTTTATCTCACAAATGATCTTTAGAGAAAGAGATTCTCCAGGTTCTCATTTCACAGTTTTGAAACTTCTTTATGTACAGTATTTTTTCAGTATAATTTGCTTAAACTCTTAATTCTTAAATGTAAATTCCTTAAAATGTATTTTATTTTAGTAAAATAGTGCCTATCTGAATCCAAACGTATGCCCGGGGCTTCTTTGTGTTTACTGATTTTCCCCTTTCAGTCAATTATAAACCTTCTAAAATAGAAAACTATTCATTTTGTTATGAGAAAATACATATATATATATGTATATATATATATGTAGTCAGATAGGATCTATCACTATGAGTCTCTTTTAATCAGAGAAATATAGGACTCTCGAGTCCAACTAGAACACTTTTGGAAATGACCTTTGAAACTCTGGTCAGTGAAATGCTAGGACTTATGGAACAGTGGTTGACACTATGACTGATATTTCTAATGGGAAGTGTTTTATGATAAATGTAGAATTCTAGCTTTGGAAAATCTGGGTAAGAGAGGACAACATACATCTCTCCCCTTCACATTGTGTCTTTAGATAAAATAGAAAATTATTATCAGAGCTATGTCAGATATGGGATAGATATTATATTCACACCAGTAAATATATACTTGTGATTATAAATCTCTATATAAAATATTATATTTAAGATCTTAATGGCATTATTTTTCTCATAGTATACAAAATTAACCCAGACTAGAGCTGCAACCAGTGTGTGGATTGTAATGTTGCACCTAGAACTTCAGAATAAAAAAAAAAAAACAATAAAAACTGTGTGGTGCATTTTTCATGTATGGAATACTATCTTTTGAAGTCCACAGTTTTCTATCAGCTATTTATTTTTATATAAAATATGAGTAAAACTGTCCTTTTATTACAAGTAATAAGCTATACTGATTAATGCAGACATATTTGAAAAAAGGGGAATAGAATTATTCATATGGAATATAGTAGAACTCCAAGTTATATTTATACAATTTCAAGCAATTGCAAAGGCATGTAAAATATGTATTTTGCTGCCATATGTCATATTTTAAAAGTTTTTTCTAATAATAATATTTTTTCTCAACAGAGAGGACTGTTATTACCATTCCACCTTCCAAAATGGACGTTACAGTTGGAGAGAGTATAGTCCTACCATGCCAGGTGTCCCATGACCCATCCATTGAAGTTGTATTTATATGGTCTTTCAATGGAGATGTCATAGACTTAAAAAAAGGAGTGGCTCATTTTGAAAGGATTGGAGGAGTAAGTTGATGAAATTTTCAAGTACTTACTAAGATAAATCAAGTCTTTCACATGAATCCACATCTTTCTTAAATATTCTCCCCATATTTATTTGCATGGATAACCACTGTCTGTTTCTGAAGCTTCATCTGTTTTTGTTTTATTTTGTTTACTGTATTTCATACAAATGCTTGTGTTCTAGATGCAATTATAATAGAGGAGATAGGGAAAGGGATCATATATGAGGGATCATACAATGATACTAGTATATCTCCTAATTTCAGAGTTGTCTCATATTTAATATTTATCCAGCTGTTAAAAAAAAATGGGACCTGCTGGGAATTATTGTGTTTTTATCCCCCTTTCATTTTCTATCTGCAGGAATCTGTTGGGGATTTGATGATAAGGAATATTCAGTTAAATCATTCAGGAAAATACCTATGCACGGTAAAAACAACTCTAGAAAGTTTATCTGCTGTAGCTGATATCATTGTTAGAGGTGAGCATAACGGTGAAAATAAATGAGCCATTATTTATTCAAGCCAGAAATGTTAGTAAATAAGTGGTAAATCTTTGAATAACCAACCACATACTGATAAAGAAGTGAGATAAAAATAAAGATTTTTTTTATTTTCTAAACTTTAAGACTCCAGGGTATATGTAGTATGGATATCGATATTGAATTGAGTAGATTTTGTGTATTTATAAGGAAAGGTCAGACTCATTGTGCAGTGTCAGTCCCTAAACGTTAGGCATGCCTTCTATTTATAATAAACCATACTCATCAGAACAGGGTCAAAGTCATATATTCCTATAGGTCTCCATATAAACTGCATTTACTTTAGTTACCTTTTGAAAAAGGAACATATTAAAGTTGTTTTCAATTTTTGAGACTAGCTCCCTGACGGATGTTAATCAACCATTCCATGATTGGAATTTTCTTTCCTTTTTTTTTTTTTAAGACTAAGTGGGGAGGGAGAGAATCTTAAGCAGGCTCCACACCTAGCACAGAGCCCAATGCGAGACTCAGTCTCACAACCCTGAAATCATGACCTGAGCTGAAATCAAGAGTTGGTCGCTTAACTGACTGAATTTTCTAATCGTCAAAGGAAGATTTCTAAATTAGTCTCTCACCATGTAAACTGAATTAATAAAGCTTTATCTCAAATAATTTGCTAAAAGTACATTACATTCAATATTTTATTTTTTAAGTATACCAATAAAAATAAAGTGCCCCATCTCAAATCAATGAATTTAATAATTTTCAATATAGTTATCATCAAACATATTTTTCAAGGTCCACCAGGTCCCCCTGAGGATGTAAGAGTGGAACACATTTCCAGTACTACTTCTCAACTAAGCTGGAGACCAGGCTCAGATAATAATAGTCCCATTCAAATATTTACTGTTCAGGCTCGGACACCATTTTCTGTGGGTTGGCAGGCTGTTTCAACTGGTAAGTGACACCAATGTTTTCAGGTGGGTTTTCTAAAACAGATGTATTTGATTGATTGATTGATTGATTGATGTTAAGTAGTGCCAGTTTTGATGCCTTACATACCCTCCTCTTTTTTAGTTCCAGAAATTCTCAGTGGCAAGACATACAATGCAACAGTGGTTGGTTTGAGTCCTTGGGTGGAATATGAATTTCGCGTCGTTGCTGGGAACAGCATTGGGATTGGAGAACCAAGTAAAGCATCAGAACTGTTAAGAACCAAAGCATCGGGTAAGATATTACTGTCTTCTAAAACACGTGGAAAATCCTTTATGGTATCATTCTTAAAGCATACAAGTAAGAAGTATTTTTATGGGTCTTATAGTATTTTGGGTCCCAAGTCAGAGGCAGGAACCAGCAGCTTTCATTTTCACATTTTTATGTACCCAAAGTAGGGAGTATTTTCTCCTAAATATAAGTTCAATAAGAGATGATTATAGCTAAGCAGGCATGTCAAAAATAAGAGTTTTTCAGAAGTTGTCCTCTCATCTCATCAATTTTCTAGCCAAACTCCAACAGAGAATCTGTAGATTTGTACATGCAAATTAGTTACTGCTTGTTTCATTAAATGCTGTAGCCAAGAATTAATTGAGACTCTGTAGGTGCAATCAGCCACATATTTCCATCTATTTCTCAACTCTGACCTAGTTGCAGCTTCATTGAGCAATAGTATAAATTCTTTCCCATGCAAATGAGGTAAATCCTAAGCTCATTTTAACAGAAGCACTAATTGAGCATCAGTTGGTTCACTGAACAGCAAAATACAAGTGGAACCTGGCTCAGAAATCACCCCTTCTTAAGCTTTTTTCTGTGGATCCTCTTTGTTCTTCTCTTAAGCTTTACATCCAGGGTAACATTTGATCTGCTTGCTGCATGCAGCTACGAAGTTCACGTTCTTATTCAGTCGTATAAATGAGGGATTGCTCTGTCGTCTCTGGCTTAGCTTAACAAGCACAAAGTACGTCAATTAAGTGCACAACTGTCAGATACCATTAAGTCTCTTTTCAAATTAAAGATAATGTAAGTATTTTCATTATAGGATTGGGACTGAAAAACAAAATAATTTTACTGTAAGATCTTAAATGAGATCATCCTAGAAGTTTAGAGCTGAGAGGAGAGTCCTTTATTTTACAGAAGAGCAGGATGACCAGCATCTTAGCTGATTGTTTCGGACAGAGTCAGGATTTGAGCTCAGACCTTCAGACATGGGCACCGGCATTCTCCATAACCAGGGGTCTTAACCTAGATGAGCAAGAGATTGGCATAAAGAAATGTATAAATATAGAAAGTCCCAGACCTTACCATAGACTGGCTGGAGGAGAATCTCTGCGGTGGCCTATGCCTCACTGTTACCTTGAGTTTTAGGCTGTTTTTTTTTTTACAGCTGATTGATATCCTGGTAGCTTTGGGCAGGGTTGACTCTAACTGTAAAGTTTTACAGTAAAGAGTGTGTACTGCCTTCTATTAACCACTAACATTCTTGTTTCAGTAGCATGATGAGACCTGGTGTTCATAATACTTATCCCAAGTTTCCAAATCGTACCGGTGTGTCCTTTTTTTTCCCCCCCATAGCTTCTTCTCAATATGGTTTTAGGTTACTATGTTTCATTTGAAAAAGAAATTTTAAAAAAAGGAATTTTGTTGCCCAGACTATTGGAAGCTTTGTAGAGAGTGAATAAAAGTATAATTTAAAATAATTTCCTTATGTATCTACACGCTGTAATGGTCCTGGAAAAGTGTCACTCTAAGTTGCCAAGTACCAGAAATCCTGCAGCTGTAGAACCCACATGGATTTATGTGTTTTTGGCCAAAGGCCATAGAAGACTTAAAAAATAGGGTGTAGGTACAAGGCAATCTTTTAAATTCATTGTGAAGATCAAAGCAGATAAAGGGCAAATTTGAATATGAAAATGGGTAATGTCTGATAGGTGCTATTATTAAGAAGAACAATTAGACTCATATCACTATGTTGTTTATAAAGTTAAACATCTGCATCAAATGGCAATAGTTAAAGTAAGTTTTCTAAATTTGTCTGACTGGTCTCCACAGTGGGAGAAAATTTTGAAATGGACAATTAAATATTATGTATTATAATTCCTGTCTATCAGTCAGCAAACATACCCGGGCACTTCCACCCCCACCTCTGGATCTTGATCAAAAATGGCCAAATCTAGGTAGTTATGTGTAAATTCATTCTTTAAAAAATATATCATGAAGATTTATTCATTATCACAGATTTAAGATGCATCTGCCATTATTTCATGAAAAGGATTACATTTCAGTACTTCCACATATATAAAGCCCCATTCTGATTTTATACTACAGGACCAACACATACTCTCATCAGTTTTGTAATTTACCTCAAATTACCCATTATTTGTCATATCAGTCCTCTTAATAGTATATGTGAAGGGCATAATTGTTTTCTTGTTCATAAAAATGATCAGTGTCTGGAACATTCTTAGAGTTGTGGAGTTAAACAGAGAAAATCACCTCTGTTACATCCCTGACAGGGGTCCATCTTCTTAGCTGGCAAGTGAAAGGTTAGAGGAAAAGTCCTTCCTGTTCCATAGTAAGAGAATGTGAGATTCAAACACAGAGTTATAATAACAAGAATTTATATACTTATATATTTTTAAGAATGCATTTTTAAATGTTAAATTCTCTTGATGACTAAAAAAAAAGAAAACTCGTTTTAGTTTGTTTATTAAAAAAAAGAATTAATTAATAGACTGCCTCGGTAACTTGTTTACAGCACAACTGTATAATTAGGCACTAAATCAGCAATGTCACTGTTACCATCTGAATGGAACATCATTTTGCCAATTAGTAGATGATGCATAATAATGTCAAATACACGATGTTACTCGATTTTTAATTAATTTTGGAGCCAGGGTGCTCATGTATCAAACACAACTGTGTCCTCTCTGTGAGAAATTTGGATATGTGTAAACATAATTTATGTTCATTAAAAATGCAAGACTCTCACAATGTGCAGCATGAGATTTTGAAAGGTGAAATCTAAAAACAAAATTCTTCCTGATGAAGATGTACTTTAATAATTGCCATCCCACATTTCTCTTGGTTGCTTTCAGTCCCTGTTGTGGCACCAACAAACATCAATGGAGGTGGAGGAAGTCGGTCGGAACTCGTTATTACGTGGGAGGTAATTTTCTGTCCAACTGAGTTATTTTGAAAGAAAAAGATCTAGTTGGCCAGGAAAAATACTGAAAAACAAAAAGATTTATTTGATCACTACTGAGAATATATAAAAATACACGGTAAGAAAGACTCCTGATGATGAAATTACTTAGAGGAGGTATTAGAAACTTTTATTTCTACTAACGTGAGAGCGTATAACTAACTCAACACAATTCTCTCCCAAATTTAAAAAAACAGCTTCATGGTCTATTGAAGGTTTATCAGTAGCATTTCAACTGTTAATTGATGGACCAGACATTTTTGTATTTATTATCTCTGGAACTATTTTCTTGCACATGAGTTAGACTCAGTAGAGTGCAGGTAGAAACAATTCTTTTCCTATCACTATTCTTTAAACACTTCCCTGAATCCAGACAAAAACTTGGGCAGATGGCATAGCTTTTATGGTTCTTATTCTTACAAATTAACATATAGGCTCATCTTTATACTTATTAAAAAATTTAGCCTTCTTTATTATAATAAACTTTAGACTTTTCTCCAACCTAATGTTTCTCGTCTCCAGTAGCTTGGGCTTGCCTCAGTCTAAGGATTCCACAGTGTGAGAGGGAATGTGTAGTCAGTTCTTTATCTGGTCTCCATTCTGCTTTTGAATTTTCCTTCCCTACTCCCTATGGTACCTCTTGCTCCTCCAGAGTTGTGGTGGGTTTGGACTGAGAGAGGAGGACGAGTACTGAACAGGTTCTGATTGCTAGTACATCTATAATTTGACTTTGGTGTACTCTACAAGTGGCAAATGGCCAGACACTGTTATTTTTTTTTATTAAGTTTTTAATTTTTATTCCAGTCGAGTTAACATACATGTTATATTAGTTGAAGTTGTATGGTGTCGTGACCCAGCAATTTATGCATTACTTAGCGCTCATCATGCTTTAATCCCCATCACCTGTTTCACCCATCCCCCAAATCCACTTCCTTTCTAGTAACCATCAGATGCTGTTATTTTATAGGGTAGTTGTTTTTTGTTTGGCTTTGTTTTTTGGTTGGGGGATAGGCCTCCAGGAGATCCACATTTATCCTCAGCAAACATACTTTTGTTCCCATGTTCAGTGGCAATATAGTGCATACCTGCTTAGCCTCTCTCTTCACTCTGCTACCATGTGTTGTCCATGGTCTCCTTTAGAAGTATCAGCCATTGTCATTTAAAAGGACCTATCTGTCCCAAATTCCAGAGAGCACATACCAAGTAGTTCTTTGTGAGGCCTCTTCACTGGTTAGGCAGAGAACGAGAAGTGGCCCCATTACTTTCCCTTGGTAGAGGGAAGTGCACAGCTTTTTCTACAACTCTCTCAAAAGAAATACTTTCCTACCCTTCTCTCCCTAAAAAACAAACACTCCTTTGATAGACCATTGTCATAGGGGAGAGGCTAAATTTTGCCTATAAATGGTTTGATGTCTCTCTTTGGAATGCATATCATGTCATACCCTTGTTGTCAGCTTTGAGCCTCAGCTATAACTGATAAAAGAGCCCTGCCCTGTTTCATTGCCTGGGTACATGTTTTTGACATTTTGATAATAACTTTCATACTGCCAAAACATCCACTTCCTCGGACATTTTAATATTACACCTAAGAGCATGATGGCCATGGATGTTTTAATTAAAAATCATCCCAGCTAACATGTACAAAGGGGGTTCTCATTGGGAGGCAGGGTGGTTTATTCCTCGGTAGACATTTTACAATATCCGAGGACATGTTTGATTGTCACAACTGAGTTGGAAGAGTTGTGTTTGGGCAGAGGCCAGCAATGCTGCTAAACATCCTACAATGCACAGGACAGCCCCTACCACAAGGAATTATGTGGCCCAAAATGTCAATAGTGCTGAGGTTTAGAAACACTGTTGTTGAATAAGAGTACTTCATTGTATCTGTAAGTGATTTTGCAGTAATAAAAGGTCCATTTTATTTCTTACAAAATTCCATTAAAGATGGAGAGAGAAAGAGTGGTAGTGGTAGTAACCTCTTTTTATCTGTGAGTAAACTCAGGCACAGAGATGCTGTTTTCTCAAGGTTGTAAATGACAGGGCCAGAAACCAGGTGTAGCTACTCTAAAAGTCGTCCTTTCTTCTGGACATCTAGTTTCACATAGACATTGCGAGCCCAACATAGTGCCTGGAATGGGGCATGGCCGCAGGAGTACCTGTTGGATGGGTGGGTGATACTGAGAGAGAAGAAACTCTCAGAGGCCTGCGGCAGAGGGGACTACACTCACGGAGCACTTACAGGGCTTCTGAGCTGTGCTGGGCATTTCATGTCACTCAGTCCTCACAGCAGTGCTAGGAGGTGGGTAATGTCACTTTCAGGTTTAGAAATGTGACATTGGGGGGGTGCTGCTTGGTGACTTAGTCCGTTAAGCATCCACCTCTTGATTTCAGCTCAGGTCATGATCTCAGGGTTGTGGGATCAAGCCCACTCACCCCCCCAATAGGACTTCATGCTCAGCGTGAGCCTGCTTGAGATTCTCTCTTCCTCTCCCTCTGCCCCTCTCTGTCCCTGTTCCCACTCTCTGCTCTTTAAAATAAATAAATCTTAAAAAAGATTTGGGTGATGGGCAGTGGAGCATTTGAACACAGGACTCTCACTCCATACTCTTTTACTTTGTCCTAAATTTGAATTCCACTTATCCCTACACGATGTCATGGTTCAGGGTAGACGAGAGTCCCTATAGATCTGCCTTAGGCAGTAGGTTAATCAAATTATTCCTGTCCTCCGAACACATTTCCCACAAAACCAGTGACTCCCACATAAGCCTACAAGAGGTTTTCTTTAGTATAATGGTAAGTAGGTTATTAGGTTATTTATTTCAAAGGCCAAATAAGCATTTCATCATAGTATGTAGGGAATTTTGCTTGATATCATGCACTATTTTTTCTCCTCTAAGGTCAGAAATTACTAAAGGTTAGTAAATAATTTCTTTTGCATGTTCAGTATGTGAGAGGAATGGGAAATCCTTTGTCTACTATTCTTAAAGAGAGGATGTGAGTTTTATATATACACACACACACACACACACACACACGTGTATGTATATATATATAATATGTATATTTCCATGATTTATAATGTCCTTTTTTTAATTTAATTTATTTGACAGACAGAAATCACAAGTAGGCAGAGAGGCAGGCAGAGAGGCAGGCAGAGATAGAGAGGAAGGGAAGCAGGCTCCCTGCTGAGCAGAGAGCCTGATGTGGGGCTCATGACCTGAGCTGAAGGCAGAGGCTTAACCCACTGAGCCACCCAGGTGCCCCTATAATGTCCTTTTTTTAAAAGCGGGTTTCATCAAACCATTACCAAACCTGGCCTACTCCCTGTTTTCATACACAAATTCCCCTACCGCCACACCCATCCTCTCAGGTTTAAGGTGTTGCTGCTTTCATGCTGTTGCAAGACCCCATGTGTCTCTCGTTGTTTAAAATAGTTACTATCAAAAAAAAAAAATAAAAATAAAATAAAATAAAATAGTTACTATCACCTTCTACAGAAAACACTTGTTGGCCTCTGTTTGTTTAAAAAAAAAAATTTAGTCAAAGTCATTTGCTCTGTGTGTTTTTTCTTGGGGTATCAGATATATAGATAGATACTTGCAGAAATTACATTAATGGATGCAGTTTCCCATGTATCACTTACATTTGGCATCACATACACGCAGTTACTGAGCCAAATCCTTCTGATGCCCAAACTTTTTTAAGGAATAGGTTATGTATATTTAGAAGGCGACGCATATATTAGTTCAAGCCACCAGAAGGCATTTAGGAACTCCTTCAGTTCACTGAAGAAGAGCTTCTCTGTTCCAAGCAGTGGGGGGTCCAAAAATACATTTTATAGAAAGGTCTGCATGTTCAGAAGCCAACAGGACAAGATAGTCTTAATCCATCTTGGAAGCAGGTCAGGGACGGTACCACCCTAGCTTATCAGAACTAGGTTTTGACAACGAAACTGAGAGCAGAGAGACCGTTCCAGGACCAGTCACCACTGTTGTAGATAAGATCATACCTGACGGGCTTTCAAAACTAATGCACAACTAATGCCCATTTTAAATTCAGTGAGAATCTACCATTACGCTTTATAAGTGACAACTTCACGGGTCTTCCTAGGTTGCTGCTCATGTAAATACACCATGGTATAATCTGCCTGAAATAAATATCCTCCTTGTGTTTTCTCCAGTGCCAAAGTAATGCATATTTTGTGTTTGTTTGTTTGTTTTGCTTTGTTTCCAGCAACCTAGACATGCTATATAACTTTCGGAATGTAGTAAATGCCAATTCCTTTTTTAAGGGTATCTTTATTCACATCTTATCATAATTTATATTCCCAGGTACTCTCAAGTTTGAGATACTTGTGGTGAATATGTCATATAAAATATGACTATAAGGTTAGGAATAATAGGATAAAGTACTATGGAGGAAGAGATAAACACCTATAGTGGGAGTTGATATATATATTTTGTAAAGGGTCTGTCAGGGAAAGTATTCAGGCTTCTGGGCCACATGTTCTTTCAGAACATCCAGCCTTGCTATTGTCATCTAAAGCGCCCACATACTGTAGATAAATGGACAGTTGTGACTATGCTATTTCCAAATCCAGGCTGCAGACAAGATTTGGCTCTTAGGTCATGGTTTGCTGCCCTTGGTCTAAACCAAAGATTCTGTTCTTAATCTTTACCAACCTTAATAGATTTTAATACCAGAAGAATTTCTGAATTTCTTTTTTCTACTGAACACTTCCTTTGCTTAAAGAGGGAGACTTTCGTCCTGACCATCTTAAATAGCTAAATATATATTTTCCATCATTTTCCGCATATGGGAAATGGGAAGCATATGGAAAGAAAAAATGGAGACCTTAAGTAAGTATCTTCCCCTCTTCCCTTTCTAAACTGTGTACGTCGGACTCGGGTCTTTCATGAGGGAACATCGTGAGAAACGCTAATTGTACTTGACTACCAAAAACTAAAATCCTTCACTTTCTCAGATGAGCCAAACATCTTGATTTAATCTGTGAGCAGAGAAGCATCAAAAAACAGATCAAATACTCTAGCAAGTAGCTTAAGTTCTCATAAATCTCTTCGATTCCACTAAAAATTAACAGTTTTAACTCTGATCTTCCTGTGATAGTGCTAATACAAGGAAACATCTTCTTTCCCCAGATTTCAGGACCTATATTTTTCTTCCTCTTTTCACTTTCTGTATTTGTTAGACTGTTCCACATGGCCAGAAACAGAGACCCATTCAGGTCATCTCAGTTAATGGGGATTTATTTTAAAGCTATGTGGGAGGTAATGAGGATGAAAAGAAGTCTCAATAACCAGGCAGGCAGGTCAAATGAAGAACTGGAACATCGTTCATCATTGTCTAGAGCACGGTGGCTCTAGTTTGCTGCCAGCCGCTCTGGTCATCCAGCTCCTGCTCCAGTAGTTCCTCATGCTTGCACCTAATTCTACCTGTTTCCTTTTCTTATGACTTCCTGCTTCACTAACAACTCCATTCTATCTCTTCTTTATGTGAGTTATGGCTTCCATTTTCTCTTGGCTTCTGCTGCCTCATTGTCCCTCCTGTATTCACTGTATGTTTTCTACTTAATGCCTACTCTAAGTTTATGTAGGATTGCCCCACCTGTGTTTCATATTCAAACTCTGTAGGGGAGAGGAATTGATGGGGTCTGTCAGCCACTCTAGAACATGAAGGTTTGGCACCAGGACACTGCACAGACAGTGATTAAGATGGGACCATTAATTCTGGTGCCCATTGCTGGGTAAGCAGATGTGATTCAAGTCTCAGGATAATTTGGTACAATGAATGGATATGTATGGGTAAAGGAAGACCTCAGAAAAGGAGTTGTAGGTAGGTGGGACTCAAGCATTAATGTCCTATCAGGTATGCCTTTATTAGTCTATCAGAATTTTTGAAAAAGGAAAGAAAAGATATTTTTCTTTAAGAAGACCTAAATTTTTAGTTTTTTAAATACAACTTTCTTGTAAACAGGTGGAATATTTGTCTAAATTCAAGCATAAATTCATTTTTGTATGTTTATTTTATGTAATTATTTATAATATGTCATATTTGTAGAGTTCTGAAGACCTTATATCTATTTTTGTTTTGTAATTTTAAAAATAATAACTTATTAATAAGTTAATAAGCTAGTTAAATAATAATAAATTATTTAAAAATAATAAGTTAGAAACTTACAGAATTTGGTCTCTGTGGGAATAAGCAAAGTTTTTTTGTTTTATTTTTTTAAAAAATGTCAGGAAAAGTGCACGCTGGTATTACTACTAATGAAGATGTATGTTAAAAAATACTGAGCAGTCTTTTATGCTTTCGTGTTTGAGTAATATTCTATATTTCTTAAAGCAAATATTATTATATAACAGTTATATTATCTATATCTTATAAGAATTTGTTGAAAATTTCATGAAAAAAAACACAGCTGGCCTTGAGATAGTTAATAAGTTAATTTTGTGCTGTTAAAAATTCATATACAAATTATGTTTTAACTTATAAAATATTGCAATCTTCTAAACCACCTTTATTACATTTTGTTATTGCAACTTAATAATCATGGAAAGAGATATAAACATGTAAAACCTGTTTTACATTTCCATTTAAATTTTTCATTTATTTATCTGAATATATTTAATTGGGATCATTTTCTTAATTGTCAGTCCAAATAAAAGTATTATTGTTTTTTCAATGTTTCATTAAACAGGGTTAATATCCGTGTTTGTCTACATTGAAAGAAATGCCAAATAATCAATAAAAATTATAATAGCTCTATAAAATATTTTTGTAAATACTCAGTAATTGATCACTTCTGCCCAAGTCAATTCCAGAAGAACTACAGAATGGAGAGGAATTTGGGTACATCATCATGTTGCGGCCCGTTGGCTCAACAGCCTGGACCAAGGAAAGAGTCCCGTCTGTAGAATCATCAAGGTTTGTTTATAGAAATGAAAGCATCACTCCCCTCTCTCCCTTTGAAGTCAAAGTGGGTGTATACAATAATGAAGGAGAAGGATCTCTGAGTACGGTGTCCATTGTCTACTCTGGGGAAGATGGTAAGTTGTGGTCAGCCATGGAATGGTCATACTTGGGCATGTATGCATATTTTGCATTGATTTCCATGAAGATGATTGTGTCTTTTTTTAAATGATAGAACCTCAACTGGCCCCAAGGGGAACTTCTGTCCAGAGTTTTTCTGCTTCGGAAATGGAGGTGTCATGGAATGCTATTGCCTGGAATAGAAACACTGGAAGAGTGTTGGGCTATGAGGTAGTCCACATTAATTTCACTTTTCCTTGTGAATATGCCAGCTAACCACACAGCAGTTCTTGTTCAGCAGCCTATACTACCATCCTAGTTCTTAGCATATAACATTGTATGTCTATAGCTATCGAGGGGAGTGAGCAGCAGGGATCTTTCTAGGTGATCTCAGGCAAGCAAATTAGCAAATGGTAGCCATTTTTAAGGTGAACAAGTGGTTATCTTATTTATTTATACAAATCACCATCATATTTGTTTCTTGGGGAGTAATAAATGTCTAATCCTCAATGATCTTAAGCCATAGGAGAATTTTACTGGGAAAGCTGTCTTTGAATTGGAGCATGACTTGAATAGATATAGTCATCTTGGAAAGGGCAGTTAAGTGATAAGAAAGAAAACCTAGATTCTCCTTAATCTGTCCTTTGTAGTCTGTATAACATGCAGTAAATCACATTTATGGGCCTTAACTCTCACAGTCAAATGATGAGACTTATCAATTACTTATTACTCTTTAACTTGCAAATCCAGTGACTCCCCAGATGGATAATACATTTATTTTCTTTTGGAGTTAAAATAAATGTACAATTCTAAACTTTCTAAATTTTACTTTGTACTTTTTTTGTTGTTGTTATTGTTTTTAATGCAACTTCTCATCCAAAAAGAAAGTAAAATAAGGAAGGAAGGAAGGAAGGAAGGAAGGACGGAAGAGAGGGAAGAAGGGGAAAAGGAAAAAAAAAAAGAAAGTTCTATTCATATGATAGGTCTCTCTTCCTACTGTAATCCTGAAATGCCTTACCTCTTATTTGAATCCTATTTATTTCTGGAATCTCATCTCTAGTCTCCTCTTTTCTTTGAACCCTTCTCTAATCACTCCCTGATGTTGTCTTTCCTCATGTTCCCAGAGAATTTTTTTTTTCCAGTATCAAATCTTTGGAATGCATCCTCTGCTTTTTGTTCACCTACGTATTCTAATCTCTTAACTAGCAAGCTTTATTCTCTTTTGTCTTTTTCTATGTGCTTAAGTCAGTACTAATGTATAGAAAGAGCTTGATATAAGTTGAATTATTAATTAACCTGTCATTTAAACGACTCTAGAGGAAATGTCAAGGGTAAAACATCATAACTAAAGTCCTTGATTGAAGGTATGAATCTTCTTTTCATCCAAGTTATTATATACCTTTTGTTAAAGCTGATAACCTTTAGATAGCTCATGAAATACTTTCTTTTGGTATTCCTTTTTTTTCTTTAAATATTTTATTTATTCATTTTATTTGCAGGGGGAAGGGCAAAGGGAGAGGGACAGAGAAAATCCAAGCACTGAGCACAAAGCCCAATGTAGGGTTTGGTCTCATGACCCCAAGTTCATGACCCAAGCCAAAATCAAATGTCTGGCACTTAACTGACTGAGCCACCCAGGTGCCTCACTTTATTTTGGTATTCTAAAAAAACCTCTAGATTCTCTAATTTCTATTGTGAATTGGTATTTTTAAATTAGACTTTGATTATTTTGTTGTTGTTATTATAAGCATGTAATTAGAAAATATTCTTCTATTTATATTCCTGTTTCTTCCCATAACCTACCATGGTTAATAGTTGCTGAGAAATAATGAATTATTTGTTCTTTGTTTCTAATGATCAGGTGTTATACTGGACAGATGACTCCAAAGAATCCGTAATTGGGAAAATTAGAGTCAATGGGAATGTCACAACCAAAAACATCACAGGGCTAAAAGCCAATACCATCTACTTTGCTTCTGTGAGAGCTTATAACACTGCTGGAACAGGGCCCTCAAGCCCCCCAGTCAATGTTACCACCAAAAAGTCTCGTAAGTATACATCCCACAACAAGGACCAAGACTTAAATAGAAACATATTTGCTCAATCTCCATTTCATTCCTCCCACCTCATCATTTTAGTGTTTGGCTAGTTTGTCTTTTAAATACGGCCAATTGTTGAAACTTTCTGGTAACAATCAAAAGAAACCATTTTGATCTTTTTGAAATTCTGAAAGAGAAAATATTCGGAGTATATAGATTAAAGATAGAAGAGTGTAATGTGTAAAAGCATCGGTTCTGATGCCCTCCCCCAACCTGAGTTCAAACGTGACCTCTCATCGTTGGATTGTTGGGTGGTTATTTAAACTTTCAGGGTCTCGATATCCTCACCTGGAAAACGAGAGAAAAATCGTACCTATTTTCTCACAGGTCTCTCTTCAAGAATGAAAGATATAAAGAAAGTATCTCAAACATCCTTTAGAACATGCTAAGTCTTAGACTGTACTCTGAGGTGATCCTAGCACTGCCAGATGTCTGGATCTTTCTTTATAGGGTAGCTTATCACTGTAGTGTACTTGGAAGTCCCTCACATTTAAGAATTAACTATTCTGCTTCTCTTTGACTCCCTTAATAATCAGCCAGCTGTCTTTTACATAGGCAAAGCCAACTGAATAAAGGATGAATAGTGGATTGTTGCTGTGTTTGTCCTATGAGTGAGTCTGGCATCAGACAAGCATTCTATAATACAAAGCACAGTGATCAAACATGATGTAGTAATAGCTACCATATGTACATTTATGATTATATATTTGTATATTTCTTACATCTTGTAGATGAACATAAATTATTGTGTTCACAGGCTTTTAAAGAAGAGAAATTTTTTTTAAGATTTTACTTATTTATTCGACAGACAGAGATCACAAGTAGGCAGAGAGGCAGGCAGAGAGAGAGGGGGAACAGGCTCCCTGCTGAGCAGAGCCCGATGTGGGGCTCGATCCCAGGACCCTGGGGTCATGACCTGAGCCGAAGGCAGAGGCTTAACCCACTGAGCATCCCAGGTGCCCCATGTTCATAGGCTTTTAAAAACACATTCTTTGGTCTCTGAACCCTGATAAAAAAGAGGATTCAAATATAGTTGCTGAATTTTGAGGAAGACTAAATGGTTACACAGGAGAAGTATATCTTGGTTTTAAATGCAGTATTCTTTTCTCTCTTGTGTATTGAAAAAGAATAGGTGGTGGAGCATAGTTTGAAAATCAAGTGATATAAACTTTTTCCCCGTGTACATTATATTTGTCCAATCCAAAAAGAAATTAGAAATCATCTCAGTTCTTAAACCTTTGGTTATAGAATACACAATCCACTTTAGTCCACATCACCAGGCCAGCAGCCAAAGACTTGTGTTCTAATTCTGGATACTTCACTGACTCATGACCTGAAACAGGATAAGACATTGCACTTTTTCTTCTTTAATTTTCTTATCTGCTAAGTAAAAATTCTCTCTGCCCTCAGTCTCCCCAAATCATTGATGGGGCAAAAAGGAGGTACTGATTATAGGAGCGCCTTGGAAAATATAGTTTCTTGCTAAGAAAGAAACAAACAGAAGAACAAAAAGCCTCTGGGATCAGTCCATTTCAAGGGTAGATAGAGTATGTGCAACCAACAGCTCTTAACCCAGCTCTCTTCCAGTCCACCCAGTTGGGGAGAAATTAGGTCATGAACGATCCTCAGGAACTGACTAGCTAGAAATGTAGTTCTATTCCTCTTCCTGTTTTATCCCATGCTGACCAAATCAGTGACGCCATTGCCATATGCTGATATGAATGATTTGCTTCTGGAATCCTTCTGGAGTCTGGCCTCTTCTAGCTCATTTGCAAATCTGGATGGAAATTTCCAGTCATTCAGTAGTTTTAAGATGTCCAGGCACTTCCTTCTAGCTGATTGAGAGATGCCAAACTCACAGAACATCTTGTGTGTTGTTCAGTTTCTATGTTGGGCAAAATCAAGGGTGATTAGAAATGTGTAAAGATAGTATTTTTAAAAACCTCACGGATTTGTATCATGATAAATGGACAGACATGATAATGTAGTTGTTGAAGCAATCTTAAGTCGGCTTAAGATTACATGTATTCCTATTGACCAGTTGAAGATGGACTGAGACCTGAACAATTAACTACTTTAAAAGCATTGTATGTATCTTTAAAATCTTAAAAAATAATGCTTTTCTGTAACTGGAATTCACTAGTTTGATTGTTCATACAACTTAAATCAGCCATGTATTAGTTTATGCTAACCTATCCTACGTGTTTAAGTAGAAAATCCATTTTTGACATGGTGATCTCAAGTTTGTTCAGTTGACCTACTTTCAGTCCTTGATACTTCAAGTGGGTTTAACTGAAATTTGGATTATATGCCAAGAATGTTATTGGTGGTTTGTTTGAGTGTTAATACATGATCATCTCCATCAAAGAGTGTGGAACATATCCTTCGAAAACAGTTTGATTAAGGAAGCGTAATCTCCCCAAGATGTAATTTTAGAATATATCTGCTGAGAGAAAAAGTGAGATGAGATTCAGAAAATTTTAAATGAAGTTTAGTATTTTTAAGCATTCATCTTTCTTGATTAAATCAAACAAATAAAAACCCTTATAATTCCTAATTTCTCGATAGCAATTTTGTTTCAATATTTCTTGAATTTGGCTTTAACCAGTCTGTATCCTTCAGTGTCATGATCAAAATAGCCAACATGGACTTGAGAATAAGAAGTTCTGCATGTCTCCATCTCATCGTGTTTGAGTATAAATTAAACCTCTAATGTCGTTCTGTAGCAATCTGTGTGTCACTGACATTGTGAAAATGGGATACAAACTGTTTTAGATTCCTATTGTTGCTGTTCAGATTTCCATGATTTAGGGGTTTAAAGCAATATGAATTTATTATCAGACCTTTCTAGAGGTCAGAAGTCAGAAATGAGTTTCAGTGATTGGAAATTGGGGTGTTGGCATAGCCTGTGGTCTTTTCAGAATGTCCAAAAAAAATTTGTTTCCTTGTGGTTTCTGGAGGCTAAAGACCACCTACACACCTTAGCTGTGACCCCTTCCTCTGTTTTCAAGGCCAGCAGCTTTGTGTCTTCAAATCTGCCTGTGACTCTGATCCTCTGCTTTTGTATCATATCTCCTCTGACTCTGGCCCTCCTGCCTCTCTCTTGTTCACCCATCTAAAGAGCCTTAATTTAATTGCATCTACACAGTCCCCTTTCCCATACTTTAAAAAAAAAATGAGGAATTACAAGGGTTTTTATTTCTTTGATTTAATCAAGAAAAGAGAGGGATGCTTAAAAATACTAATCCCACAAATTCCCGGGATTAGTATATGGAAGTGTTTATTCTGTTGATCACAGTTACAAAATACTGGGCATGTCTATATCCGGAGCCCTGTGTTAATTTTCCACATACATTATCTCACTTAATTCTTAACAACAAATCAAGGAATTTCATATTTTAATTCCTAAATATAAGAAAACAAATGCTTAGAGAAGTTCTTTGGGCATCTGCCAGACTCAGACACTATGAACATGGATCCTCTGAATCTCTTCATCCCACGAACACTGTGTTAGTTTGTAATCTTCATCTCTAACCATCTAAATAGTCCCTCTCTCTCCAGATCTCAAATCTTCAGTCCAAACCTCAAATGGTCTTTAGATTTTTCATCCTAAAATGGAATCACGGCCTATTCTTCTTCCAAAATTTCATTGTCTCCTCTATGCCACAGAACAAAAGCTAAGAGAATCTTTCACCGTCTCTCCCAAACTCCCTTTCTCTCCTCTTCCAGCCCTGGCAGCCCCAGACTTAGTGACTATGGTTTAACACTGCATGTACTCTCTGTGTGTCATGCTCCTGCCATACCTGCCAACAGTCACATATCTTTCCTCCTGATCTGTAAATTTCTCATATTTTCCTGCTTAATGTATTTGCATTTTTCTGGATGTTCCATGACTCTGGCCCATTGTGAGATAATGTTGGAAAGAGACAAGGACTCCTGAGTGGAAGAAGGTTGGCTGTGAGTCTCAGTTCAGCCATATACTACCTGTGTAGCAGATCTAATTCCCCCATAACTCAGAACCCATTTTCTCATCTGAAAAACAGAGATGATGATACTTTCCTCTGGAGTTTGCTCTAAGAACTAAAGGATATTATGAACACCAAGGTGCCCCAGAGGCTGCCTTACAGCGAGAGCTTAGGGCATGGTAACATGTATTATTATACTTCTTCTGTAGTGATTTCACTCTCTGCATTTCTTAAAGCAGGAAAGTGCTTTTTACTTTCTTTCTCTTGATAAATCATTGTAGAAATTTTCTTCAAGGGTCATGAAAGGACAGCCAAAGTGAAGATGAGGAATGGCTTTAATGAAACATTGAAGATAGCTCTGATTCCAAATGCTATCCCTGGATCTAACTTTGATTTTCCATGTCCTTGAGATGACATCAAGATTACCTCAGAATAGCGGTGACAGCAAGAAATTCTGTATCCATCACACATTCATACTGTCACTGTCTAGATTTTCAGTCTGATACTTGATCATCCGTTGTAAATTCTCAGAAAGAAAGTTCACATTTACCAAAATCTCTGCCTATTCTGATTGGGTAAGCTTAACAGAAAACAGAGCCTTTTTTTTGGAAATATGATGATTCAGTCAATCACCCAAGAAAATAGTGCCTCTCATGAGCTCTGCATAGGTTAGTGCCTGGTGGAGATTAAAGCAGCCGAGATCTCTGCCTTCAGGCAATTTCTCTTTTAGTGGAGAGGCAACCTAAAAGAAAACAAAACAAAGCAAAACAAAAAAATTTCCTCATAGATTATGAAAAGTGGTACAAAGAAAATAAGATGCTGAGATCTACATAAAAAAAGAGGACCTATGTGATGAAGGGTATATATTTTGATATGATATAAAACATGAAAAGGAGCTAGTGGACAAAGGGATCTCCAAACAGAACAGCATATGCAAACTTCTGAAATCTTTGTTACTATTGTTACTAGTGATGATGTTGGCTTTTTTGTTGTTGTTGTTGTTTTTTAAGTAGTTATCAGTGATGTAACAGTATCATAGCTAGTGAAAACGATATATTTCCAAAAGACAACTGAGAAGCATTGCAAATATATTGTGATCCACAGGGATATCACTTAAACAGAATTTAGATATACAATCAAAGGGATAAAAATATTTACATCAATTCCAAGAAGAAAAGAAAAAAAAAAAAACCACAGCAACAACACTGCTTATATAGAGAGAAATATTCAGACCCAGCAACACAAAGTGTTTGCAAATTTTGGCTCAATTTGGCCCCTGTCATTGACGGACAAGTACTCTGTACTGGATTTTTCTTGCTGTAAATTTGCAATCAATCCATATTTAGACATAAAGGAAGCATTAAGCTTTTATTTCATCTTGCACTTATGTTCTTTCTCTCTTGCCCAAATGTCAACCCCATGCTGTTACTTAGAAGTGTAACATAAGAAGTTGTTTTTGAATTGAGTTCACAGTGTGAACTACAGTTGAATATAAATGCCATCTACAGAAAAATTGATCACAGGGAAACCATTAGAGCTGTAGAGGGCTAGTCTAATGTTGCTCTGTCATTTGATTAATAGAAAATGATTTCGTCTTTGAAAATTGCCCAGAAAGATTTTTTAAATTAGAAAAATGCTTGTTTGTTGAGTTTACCATTGGCCAACGTGATGCAAACATCCATGGCCTGTGTTTGATATTATCCATGTGACAGTGTTTTTGGATTTTCAAGGTGATAGAAATCTCAATGTCATAATAGATATTTGAAATCCAGTTTAATCAAGTACATTAAGCTCTTGAAACCAGATTGGTTAATAATGTTCATATTAAGCAACTTTCTAAAGCAGCTTTCAGAAACTTTTTATTTAAATACTAGACAAAAAGCATCGGCATTGGAGTCATCCTCATGGACAAAGATAAGAAAGATGATAGACTAGGATGATTTCCCAGATAATTAGCTAAAACTCTACCAGTTTATCTGTCTTTCAAAAAGCATATAAAGATCCCAAGAAGAACAATATGATTAAGGGCAAATCTTATTTACTCTAGTTATATTTAAGAAGCGGATCATTTGCAGACTTTGGAATTGTATTATTACTAACCATCTGCTTTGAACACAATTGAAAAATTGATCATGTCATAAGACCGCAGTGGAGAATTGTTACTCTAAGGAAGGAGAATTAGCAGTTACTGTGTTTTTTAACATGTACCACTAACCAAGTGAAGAACATTTCGTATTTTAGTATATATAAGCTAAAAACCTTGGAAATTAGGAGATTTTTGTCTCATTCCAAAGATAGAAAAGCCAGGCCTCATGGAAGAGACTAGATGCAAACCTCTCTCTGACTTTTAAAGCCAGCACTTCCCACCGCCTAGATAGCAAGAGAGAAAAGCATTCTAAGTGATCTGTGCCATTGGCCATTCATACCAAGAACTCATTCCTGAAAAAACTCTTCTCATTTTATGTCCATAGAATATTTTATGTATGCTTTGGTAGATGAAGAAACAAATACAAACATTTTGGTGTCATGGCCATAGTCATAAACTCCTTGTCCACATGGTTGATAGAGGACAGTTCTGTCTTCCAGCCTGGAGCTTCCCCAGTGGATTCATAGTATTGAAAACAGCGCTTTTACTCTAAATAAGCAAACAAAATAGACATAGAAATAGATGAAAACTTCAGAGTCCATCACTGCCAGTGACATCAAAGGAATAAATTTATATTTTCTCTGTATTGATTCTATGATAGTGTTAATGTTAGTGCTTCATTTTAAAGAACAAAGATAAAAGATATGTGCCACGAGAGCATACTAGATATTAAAACTATGATATCTTGTGAGAGTTTTTATATTATCTCTTTTATAACTGAGGAAAAGATTAGAGAAGGCACTCTGGGATAGTTCAGGGGGAATAGTTACAAAACAATTGTTGTTGACATCTAGTCTTTCAGAAATAAATATATTGACGAACATGCACTGAGTGCTTACTAAGTGCAAAACTCTTAGGCCTTTAAGATTGGGCTTATATTGTCAAGAAATGTCCTAGGGCATGTTTAATCCAATCGGCTTGTTTATTTTATAAATCATATGAATTGCTGTAGGTTTGGCCATGGCAATTGACCTTGATTATAGGAAAGCATGATGAATAGATTGGCCACATTGTGTCACCTATGTGCCTGCACATGGCCCAGCACATAGTCAATATAAGCTGAGAAAATCACTCAGGACTCTGAGTGGTTTTTCCTTAGCCATCTTTTATAGTCATTTATTCCACATGTATGAATTATATGTCTCCTATATGCCAAGCACTGTGCCGTAGTTAGTAATACAGAGTTGGACAAGGCACATGCCCTCAATAAATTTAAAGAAACTCATGATCAAGAATAGCTATAATTGATTGTGACAAATCCATTACAAAATATGAACTGGCCCCACTGGGAGCAGAGGAGGGAAACATTTATCTCTTGGCCGTGTCCTCACTGAGGTGTAAGTAACTAGGTGAATCAGAATAATGTCCTTGTAGGTTTGGGATAACAGGGAATACATGATAATGCAATGTAAGACACCCTGAGACTTTTCCAGTGACATATAAGAGAATAAATAGCAGTTGAGTCAAAGCTCTAAAAGAAATCATTTCCATTTCCATCAGTGTTATAATGAGTTAAATATTATGCTCATTCAGCCTCACAAATTCAAATAAGATGCCAAAAACATCTTGCTGGGTAGTTTTATCTTTGCTTCTGCTTTCCAGCTGAATTATTTTTAATCTCTCCAGTTTCCTAAATCTCAGAAATAATCATGTGGACTCAAACTTTGGGAAGCAGCATGTTGTCATGGAGGAACACCAGCTTGGAAATCAAGAGACCGGGATTCTGTTGTGACTAAGTCACCCTTTAACTGCTTGCTTTTGGATAAGTGGCCTCCCAACCTGGACTCTAGTTTTCTTGTATGTAGAAATCTCCAGCTGCACTAGGTCCATTACCTTCAAAGACTGACTCTGAAGTCATCTTCCCTTTTACTTACTGTCTTTCTGTGAGACAAACTTAACTTCAGGGAACTAAAAACTGCATTTTGGACTTAAAATAAATGTCTTTTGGTATGATCACCGAGTTTGTGATGGTTTTCTCTTTTCTGGGTTCCCAACAGCTCTGTATTAAATGACATGCATTCTTCTCACTATCCAGCCACAACTGACTAGACTAAGATAAACATGGCCAAATTAAGTCAATCTTCATCTTTCTCCTGGGACTTCTAGCCTGGACTATCTCTGAACAGAGTAGGTTTCAAATGTCAGATACAGAGAACAGTCATGATTTTTGCCGCATTCACTGAGAATAACAAAGAAGTGGTCTATGGCAAGATGAGCGTGCAGCAAACATTACCATGAGAAGTGGAAAGAAGAACTTCTTGGCTTTTTGACATTTTTTTATTTTGTCCCTCTTGAAGCTCCGCTGCATTTTGCCAAGAGTTCTAAGAAATTCTATATGCCTCATAATCTCTTACTGTTTTGCTTATCATATCTTAAGTTGATCGTATTACTTAAAGCCAAAGAGTCCTAACTAATACAAGATTAAAAAGGAAAAGACTACTAGGAATTAACACTACTGTGTTGATATGTATAAAAGGCTTACAGCCTGAATTTGCGTGACGTGCTCATTGATTGATGACCAAATGGAACACCAGATAACAGAGTCCTCCATCTATTTATGTATGGTAAAGTAAACAAACTCAGCAGCAATGATTAATAAATTAATACTGGACATGCAACAAGCCATTATTAATTTATAAGTTTGTCACAAAGATGGTCCCAAATGACCAGAATTTAAATGAATTTGCTTATTCTGATTAGAATTAATATGATATTTCAAATGACACTGAAAACATTTTTGCTGCTTCTATGATAATCATCCAGGACTTATTTTCCCTTTTCTTGTTGATGGGTCATACAGTAACCATGAGCTAATTAATATTCATTTGAATCTTTGATTATCTCTTTAAAGCTCCAAGCCAACCACCAGCTAACATTGCCTGGAAGCTGACAAACTCTAAATTATGCCTGAATTGGGAGCATGTAAAAACCATGGAAAATGAGTCTGAAGTATTGGGCTACAAGGTGAGTATTTTGTTTTTCCTTTAATAATATCATTTAAGTTACTAAGAAACCAAGATTGTTACAACCAAATAAGAAACAAATTTATGCATCTGAAAATACAGGAATCTTTAAAAAAAAATGAAAAATACTTAGCATTGCTGCTTTCAGATTCTTCATTAAAAATTTTTATGTTCTGAGGACAGCAATGTATCATGGAACAATAAGAATTAAACTATAATATGCAATAATTTTTCTTCAAGTGATTCCCCTCACCATCAAAATATGATGGTGTGTGTGCGTAGTAAGGTGAGATGAGAATGAAGTCCAAGAATATATTCAAATAGAATTTCTAGAACTTAGGCTTCAGTAGGATGTGATCTTTTAATAACATAAAAAGAATCTAACAAGAGGATAGCCAAGGACCCAGAGCAAATTATTTCCATCAGTGGTAATAGACAACATCTCCTGGCAAATGCACATATTCAGACATTTGAAATGGGTCCAAACTAACCAGTGACTTCATAATGAGCTCCAAGGATAATAGCCTCAAGCTATTTAATTAATAGAGAAGAAATCTATTCTCATTTCAGAAGCATTGGCCAAAGACAATTTTTTTTTTTTTTAATGACTGAATTTAAAGAAAAGTCACAGACTGGATATTCCCATTCAAGGAGTACAGCATTTATTCTGATATGTCTCATAGTGTTCCATGAGAATCTGGACGTTAAAAAAGTGACATGTCCATTTAACTTGATTCACCATTGTATTCAGATTCTGTACCGGCAAAACAGACAGAGTAAAACACATATTTTGGAAACAAACAATACCTCGGCTGAGCTTCTGGTTCCGTTTGAAGAAGACTACTTGATTGAAATAAGAACAGTTAGCGATGGTGGGGATGGAAGCAGCAGTGAGGAAATTAGAATTCCAAAAATGTCAAGTAAGTTGAATCACCGTCGCTGTTGTAGATTTTGAATCTCGACAGCTGCAGCATGAAATCGAGGCTCTATGAATGTTGGGTGGAAAAATAAAAGGTCTGTGTTTCCATTTTCAGTTGTGAACAAGAGGTGATGAGTCAAGTTTTCTTTAAATAATCCCTCAAATTTGCAACATGCCTACATATTATAAACAGTTTTATGTTTCTTCATTTGAATCTCAAAAAGAAAAAAAAAAGCAAAAGAAAACACACACAACTGTGTGTCATTGGTGCAGAATTCATTCTATTGGCACAAAAATCAGAAAGTTTTTCTCTGGGTACTCACGGGCTTCTGGGAGTAAGGATAGAAAATATGGAACACATGTATTTTTACTCCTATTCCCATTTCTGTGGCAGGCATCACTAATCAATCATGACATGCATACCGAGCTGAGTCACAAATCTCAAATCCTCTCAACACAGTGTTCTAAGCAGGTAACACCAAGCAGTCAGATTTAGCATGTAATAATCATTTATTATTTCTGCTTCAGAGGAATCACTTCCTCAACTGCCTGAAGTTGTAGCTGGGTGAAATCATCAGCCACCACACATTGGCAAATCCTAAGCTGCCCTCCAGTCAGACTCGGCCAGTTTAGGCATTTTTCTTGTTCATTTTTACATTTAAAACAGATATCCTAGGGGCACCTGGGTGGCTCAGTGGGTTAAAGCCTTTGCCTTCAGCTCAGGTCATGATCTCAGAGTCCTGGGATCGAGCCCCACATTGGGCTCTCTGCTCAGCAGGGATCCTGCTTCCCCCTTTCTCTCTGCCTGCCTCTCTGCCTACTTGTGATCTCTGTCTGTCAAAAAAAAAAAAAAAAAAATTAAAAAAAAACAAAACAGATATCCTAGAACCTAGCTAATGACACTTCCTAAAATTAAATGTAATGTAAATACAGCAAGTGTGCTAACACACGTTATTAGAAGAGAAATGATAGTATGCATGAAAACTTAATCTAACAAGCAATTTTGTTTTTTCTCAAGATATTTTGTTTCATTTTTATGTTTTGCAGGTTTGAGTTCCAGAGGAATTCCAGCCTTAGAACCTAGCATCTACTTCCTGTCAGTTGTCATCATTTTTTACTGTTTTACAATTCAGCCACTTACACGATGAATGAAACCATAAATCTTTGAGAGTTTTTTGAAAGCAAATCATTCTGTAAATAAGCTCTCCAGTCCCCATCACAAAATACATGATTAATACAGACTTGTTTGGAAAGGAAAAAAAAATGTATATTATTAAGAACCTGTAAATATCTATGGTACATTAATAAAACAGTTTTAAAAACTTTTGAATTTTAAAGTTCATACATGATTACGTACATTCAGAAAGTGCCAGATAATCTCTGGAGTTTTAACTGCTGTGGCTTTTAAGTGACTTCTATGGGAAATATAAATAACTCCCCTCGATGACAATGATGAATATGAAATAGGTTGCAGTTATCATAGGGAAGATGTATATTTTTTTATATGATCCATGCAATTTACTTCAGTATTAAAAATGTTCACCCTACTTGGAAATAAAATGTAATTATTTGTTTATAGTTGGGATTCTTAAAAATGTAAGCTATTCCAAAGGGTGATAATGTGCTTTTACCTCTAAATTAGGTGAGGCTAGGAAATATCCATACCCAATAAAAATGTATATACATGATGTTCTTTTTGACTCACTTTTTTAGGAGGTTCAGGAATAATAATGACAGGAAAAAGTGCTTTATGGCAAAGAAAGAGAAAAGAAGGGAAATAAGCACCCATCTAAAACAATCTAACAACTCTGGTATATAACAGGTATCTTCTCACAGCAAAATTTAATTTTTTAAATCAATTTTGAATTTACCTATGGAAAAAGTTGCCTGACCAAATCTCAGGTAATTATTACAAATTGTTAGCAATGCAAGTGGGCTTGTTTTCATACAATAAATAAATCTAGTAACAGAATTATTTAACCAAGTTTTTGACATTTTGGTCCATATATATATATATATATATATATATATATATATATAGTCCATCTTCCCTGCAACTATGAAAATAATCCTACACTGTCCAAGACTTAAAAAGATGTTTGCAGGTTGACTCTTCTCTAAGGTGAACCTGTTTGAGTCAGTAAAAAGCAGTCTGAGAGAAGGTAAGGTTAATGAGTAGGCTAATGCCATTCCATGTGGCCATCCGTTTCCTTCAAGAACAGCCTTGAGGAGTTTGGCCTCCTGGCAGTCTGCCTTCACTGCCAGCCAATCAGACTTGATGTCCTGGGGAGCTAGGATTGAGAAATGGTCACACTAGTTTTGCCTTCTTCACATGGTGCGACCTCTTAATTATGTTGAAATATTTGAATTATCCTCACAACCCTCAAATCACACAGTCCTCAAAATTGGATTTTGTCCTTTTCATTTCTGATGTATTTTAAAGCTGTTTAAAATACCCAGTGTAGTCAGCAGCAGATGGACAATGACTTTTCATAGTTCAGAATTTCTCCCCGCCTGAATAGTGTGTCAAGCATACAGTACAAATTAATGAGCCTTATTCTCCTCCATGCCCTAAGATATGGCTGTGCTTTGATGGAGCAAAATAAATAAGCAATAGCAAATGCTGTTTGGCAGACTCACGTGAACAGCTGCCTGTCCACGACACAGCTGTATTGACCAGAAATACCAGGCCCACATGGTCTCAGTGGTTTCCTCAACTTGGTGAGAGACAAGATTGTATCATCCTCCTCAAAGCAGACACTGAGAGTTAAAAACACTATGAGATTTTTGTTTCCACTGATTAAATGAATTAAATACATAGTCATGTGTACAAGTCTGAAGGCAAAAGCAGTTCTTATCAGTAACTCTTACAGGTTTGAAGTTGTGCTTTCACTCATGATTGTAGGAGTATTAAAAGTATGCATTATTCAATATCTAATATTTATCCCATACCAAAATTTTTGGAATCCAATTTAGCATTAATATTCAATAACATCTGCTTTGTCTCTTGATTGATTGGAATCTCTACTCTTAGTGAGGCCTGGACACATATTTTAACGTCCCCTTATTGCTAATATTAGGATTAAAGGACATAATGTGCACAAGTATTTAGTGTAATGCATGCAACATTTAAAACTGTCAACAAATAGAGCTGCTGTCATCTACTGGTATGAACTAGACCCCTAACGAAAGAATTTATTGTATTTCCTTGAGTGCCCAATAGACTATGAAAAGAGATTCAGCCTATATTTATGTCAAAATCCAAAAATGTTATAAGAAAAATGAGTACTCCACCTACTGCCGACACTAAATGGGACTAAACAAAGAATGGAACCAATGATGATTCCATCAAGCCATTTCAGAAAGATATTCTGTGTGATGTAGGTACTTGCCTGATATTTAAGAGAGATTTCTAGTGGACCCCTTTACTGACCAAGTACGTTGCTGTTAAAAAACTCTTATAAACACGGTAACTTATTTCCATACTTCTTACAGGAAGGAGAAAAAATGTGGTTGCGCCTGGAAACAGCTTAAGGAGGAAAAGGGAATAAGGATAGGAGACTTGACACAGCAGAATTATAACTTTATAAACCTATGGGCTGCCAGGTAATATTAACTTCAGATCAGCTCCATGTCCTCTGATCTCCTATTCTTCATACTAAAATCCTCCCAGGTCAGTGTCTCTCTTCTAAGTGTACACTAGAAGGTGGCCCATAAAAGAACATGCCTATATCTTTAACAGCAAATCCAAACAGTGAGAAATGATCTGGAATCCATCTATATTTCAAATGCAGTAAAATAACGATTCTTTACTGTAAGTGAATCTACTTTTATTAAGCCTCTATATCTTATCAGTCTAGACTCCTTCTTGAGATGTTAACTTTTAAACACTCCCCATATGCCATAATTATGATGTAATTTGCTATAGAATTAAATATTTAATTCAATAGAATCAAGAATTTGGTAATCACATCACTATTGCACTCTACTTGAATTAGGTTTATCTTGAGAAACAGAACCAATAGGATGTGTGTTTGTGTGTACAGGTATGTATATATACAATTGCACACATGTATAAACATATATGAAATGAGAGAGAAAGAGGAGATAATAAAGAATTGATATCAAATTATGGAGGTGAAGAATTCCAGACCCAGGAGAGCCTATGGCATAGCTCCAGTCTGGGTCTGGGAACCACAAGAGCCTATGGTATAATTTTTGTTCTGAGTCTGAGTATGAAGTCAGGAGAGGATGAGTGTTTTAGCACGAAGATTGTCAGGCAGTCTTTTTATTTCTTTTTTAGCCTTTTATTTTACTTAGGCCTTCACTGGATTGGATAAGGTCCTGCCGCATTGGAAAAGGCAGTTTTCTTCACTCCATTTACTGATTCAAACTCCTCCAGAAACTCCCTCATAGACACACCCAGGATATGAACTAAATATCTGGGCCCCCTGCAGCCCAGTACATTGACATGTAAAATTAACCATTCCAGTGTTGTTTTTCATAATTTTAATTTTTAAATTAAATTTATTTTATTTTATGTTATTTTGTTTAAATAATTCAGTTCTAACCTCATCAACTTTTGAAATGGAATTCTTGAAATATTCTTCTCAGTTTCTTCATTTGTAAAATGAGGTGTTGAATTACAAGATCTCTGAGTTCCTTTAAAACCCTGCAATTCTCTCAAGCTGCAGAGTTGACTTTTTTAATATGAGGCAGTGTTTCATTACCTTTCATGACACACACCCACTCTGTATAGCTTTTCCAATTTACTTCTATATTTTCACTAGCCTTAAGAATTGTGTTGAGCTTTCTTGAGATTTCTTTAACTCTGAGTTAATTGAATTTTCATTACTAAAACAATGGGTATATTGAGTATGCTTTTTCAAGCCACAAAGAACTCTCGGAAATTCTGACCCATCTCTACTCTCCATTGAGAATTGTTGGTGTGTTTCAGAGGTCCCCAAGTGCAAAGCTGTGATAGGACTTTCATTGTTCATGAAAAATGAGAAAAGTTCATACAGTATAATGAGATTTTAATAATGAATAATTTGTGAACTCTTTAAGAGATTACGACTTTCTTCTCCTTTTTGTGGTAAAATGTCTACTCTTTGATGACATGAATTTGAGTATGAATTCGGGTTTGCTTTACATGTTCAATTTTAAATATTCTTACTTGAATAAGAGAAAAGAGTAGGTTATTTTATATAAATTAATTCAATTATTATTATTATTTAAAGCTTTTATCTTTGGAGAAAGATCCAAATTAAAAATAACTGATGGTTAGTCTTTCTTTTTTCACACTTACTTCTTTATCTCATTACCATCAAATTAGTGGGTTTGGCTTTTTTTATTGATTTCAAGTTTGTATGTCACAGCCTTACCTGTATCCCTTGAATAGCAAGGCTCTGTGTTCTATGGACCTGTTGTTTATATACATAAACCACAGGTCTAGGAAATCTGGTCAACCTTTTGTAACAAGCTATTAATATAATTAAGATAATGAAAAAAAAAGAATATCAAAATCCTGAATTTTTTCATTATTTTATTAACTTATTTCCTTATTTTTTTTTTTTTTAAGAGAAAGAGAGAGAGTGCATGCACATGCTCTCGAGCTGCACAGGATTGTGGGGCAAGGGAGAGGGACACAGGGAGAGAGAGAATCTCAAGCACACTCCATGTCCAGTGCAGAGCTGGACACGGGGCTCTGTCTCACAACCTTGAGATCATGACCTGAGCCAAAATCAAGAGTTGGAGACTTAACTAATTGAGCCACCCAGGCATTCCTCTTTAATATTTTAAAGTTTGGAAGTTATTTGCTTTCTACTTATCCATATGAACATTCTTTTCTGTCATGAAAATATATATAATAGCTTTTAGGAGTTCTTTCATTCCTTTATATACAAAATAATTTTTATAAAAAGGTAAATTTGCTCCATTATTTTTAATATTCCTTTTCTTGACAGCACTCAGTACAGTCCTGGGCAGAGAGAATGATGCTTACAACACATATTTTGCTTCCTGGGCAGATTTATGCAGCCAACTGTTGGGGCAATTTGTTTTCCCCCAGTTTCCTTAGGAAAATAAGTGGGTTTTTTTTATAGCCTGACTAAAATAAGTTGGCCTAAACTCCAGATTTGGGTGGGTATTCTTGAAAGAAGTAATAAATAAAAAATAACATTTGTGGAATATAGTAATTTTGAGAAAGCATCAGAATTATTTTCCTGTTTTGAAAAACATATACTTTACAATCTGGGTAGGCATGCCTTAGAAGATACTTACCTTGTCCAGAGCAAAGCTCATGAGAGAAGCAAATCTGATGACTTTAAA